AATTTTACATTCTATTTCTGTAAATTAACATTTACATGCATGTTTATTTACATGCACTCCACCACATCTACTGAGCCCATGCCAGCAATGAGACTGACTGACTGACAGTAAAGCGTTTTGTGATTTTATGTTAGGTTAGGTCTACAAATACCAGAGCTATTGACCATTCTGACTGACCGTAACTGTAAACCCACAAAGTGAATAAATATTGAGGGTCAGTCAGTGTAGATACAGGGTGGCCACAACTGATAAACTCATAACTCAGTGTACTTCTGAAGTAAGGTCCTAGACCACTGCTGTTCAAGTCAAAGTTGAGTTTGAAAGTCTTTGATTTTAATGAGTTGAATCTGAAGTCACTTAATTTGTGACTGGAGTCCAAGTCATGTGATTCATTTTCACACCTCTACAAGGACTCATAAAAAAGACACCTTCAGTTGATTTTTTTTTTCAATGTTACTGCTTATTTTACAGATCCCTCAGTTATGCGTAAACACATCTGCTGAATTAAGCTGAGAATGATGGTACAACTGATTTTGTGTTAGATTAGGTCCAAAAAGTACCAGAACTATTGACTGTCTAGAGCTGTTCATTAGAACTGAGCTGTTCATCACAACTGTATTCTTCTCCAGATCTGCATCTGGAATGTGCAGCTTGAATCCAGAGGAGGAGAATGCTGGAGAAAAGGGAGTGGAAAGATGAAGAGCCGGAGTCAGTCAGGAGGAAGAGTGCAGTGAGGACAGAGAGTAAAGAGTGCAAGAGGAAAACAAAAAAAAACAGTGATGGCCTGAGAAACAAAGAGGAAAAAGATTGTATGAAGAAAAACAATGTGCAGAGCATATTGTGAGGAGGACATTGAGGTGTAATGAGGTGTATCTGCCTTAACATCATATCAACTGTTAGCGAGAAACAGCAAAAAACAACAAAAAAAAAACAACCAAAAACAACCCCAACTTTTTCTGTTTAATTTCTTTTCTTCTTATCACTTCTTATCTATCTTATCTGTCTTCCTATCTTTCATTAGTATTACATTGCATATAGTGTTACCTAAAATCAACAAAGAAAAAAAACAAAACAACTTTCTTTATTGTTTTTGTACAGAAGCCCTGAAGGGTGAGGTGGGAAAAAAGTTCTACTTTCTATTTGTTTCCTCTCATATAACTTTCCAAAACAGCTGGAAAAATATTTCCAACATCATTAGTACAATTTCAGCTCTCAAAAACCTTAATTGCCATACCTCAGTGCCATGCACCAACAAATAGTTTTTGTTAGCTAAGAGTTTTCATGCAGTGGGTGATGTTTGTATTAGCCTGTGGCATCATGCAATAACATTGCAATAACAATCAACATATGACCAGAATTTCATCCGTTTGTACAGCAAACTGAATCATAATTTGGTTTCACTTTATATGGGAGGCATCAACCTGCCTGCTGACAACTAAATCAAACCACCTAAATAATACAGTTTAATTCATTAACTGGGAAAAGGTAGACTATTAGACTTACATGCTGGGTCTTCTCATCAGCTTCTCAGTGTAAAATCATTTATTTTGATACAGATATGAAATTAAATGACTTCTGCCTAGTATTACTTCAGGAGTGAACCCCTACAGGGGTAAACCTCACAAAAATACATGTCACAGTATATAGGTCACCTCATAGTCAGACTTTCCACCAGGGGACACACCAAGACCTCTGCCAAACCCTGAACAGCATCAGACAGAAAGAAGCCCTGAGATACTCCTGGCCCCAAGAAACAGCTGATTTCGTATTATGATTTCTATCTGTAGTTCAGCTGCAGATGAAGATGAGCGGCAAATCTCAGCACAATGTGTGACATCATTGAGATCTCTACTAAACCTCAAGAGGAGACGTGTGAGATTACTGGGCCCTTTTTCAGGAGAAACATCTGAGCAGCAAAAGTCTCCACCTTTCAATCTGATCTCATTGACTTCTAGGAGAAACTACAGAGATATTAAGGAGATCTTTTTTCCTATTGCATGGTAGATGTTGCGTGTGACGTAGAAGTTGTCCTTTGGACTCCTTCAGCCCACAGTCAGAATGCTGAGACACAACATATCCACACTATTTTCCTTTGATGTAATGAATTTATTCTTTGCAATAGTTTCCCAATAATGTACTAATGGCCAGATATGTAATAGGATATAAATATTTTAATATAATAACACATGTAACAATATTATAATACAATGTCAACCGATAATGTAATAAGATTTTTACTGATGAAGTAACACCTTATTAAATTACTGAGAAGAACAGAACGTACCTCTGTTAACCCTCAGTTATGCTCAGTTGTGCTCAGGTTAAATTTGACAGATGTACTGTTTTTCTCCATCATAAACATGATTTTTTTAATCTGATCTGATTGTTTTTCTGACTTTATTACTTACTCCAGGCTAGACAAGTTACAGTTGCAACCAGAAGCAGTCCTAAAAGAAGTCTTAGGAGTGGAGGCTCTTTCTAAAAGAACAACAAACTCTTCTAAGCCTTTGTCTCATTGATGCTCCCCTTGTTTCAAGGTGGTTGGTTGGTTGGCTGGTTCCTGTGTACAGCAAAAAGCCCTGTAGACAACCTTTAATAATTGCTATTTAAAGTTTGACATCATAAATTTTGAAAACAAATTTGTAAAAATGTACAAACACATTTACAATAATGTAATACGTTTTTACATATGATCAACCTGAAAATGTAAAAAATGTTTTAAATATGCCCAACAAAAATTCTGTAATTGTAGAACTACAAAGTGCACCTATATAGTAAGTGGAGCTGATAAAATGGACAATGAGCGTAGAAACAAGGAGGTGGTCATAATGTTATGCCTGATTGGTGTATATGACTTCTGCTTTTCCCTGGTGTTGGGAAATGATTAGCTTGTACTTAATGGCTTCTTGGTCTGGAAATTAAATACATGAAATGTGGTCTTTGACTTTGTACAGTACACACTGGCAAAGAATTGCTCAAACCTTGTAAGAAAGATTGATGCACACCAACAATGAATGTAAACTTAGCAAATAAATCAGTGTTTATCAGTGTCCTGCAGCTCTCACTGCTTTTCTCTACACTGAAAAATCTGTTGATGCTGACTGTTACATCAGCACAGCTTTTGCCAAGACATTGTGTTGATGTAACATATTTTATTCAGCCACTTGAGACACTTGAACCAAGTAAACCGCAAATGACATTTTTCCCCATGTACTTACAGAAAGTCTTAACATGATCTAAAGGAACTGCTTTACAAGCGTTTCTCACTGCTGTTCACAGAGCATCCACAGCGGTTAGATTTTTCTTCGTCACACATTTTCAAACATTGTCCCACATTTTCTACCAGGATTTAAATGTGGTGACTATGCAGTTGTGTTATCATCTGTAATTCATCAAAATGCTCCCTCACTTGATGAGCAGTATGGCATCTTGCATTTTTGTTTTTTTTTCTTCTTTAAGTGAACAGAAGGATTAGGTCCCCTCAAATAAATGATAAACCGCCACTAAACGTCTGTGTGTGACATGAGTTCTTTCTGCCAGTGTACATCACTTTTCACTTCCATACAGCAGAAAATGAGGAAAGGAAGAACTCCAGTCTGGACTTAACCTAGTTTCACGTAGCTCGTACAGTAATCTTGGATTGAGATCACACATCTGGGGTTAACCATGAAAAATCTGGAGTTTAAAAGTGGGTCGAACATAGATTTATTAGGGTGGGAACAGAATGAAATTCTAAACCAACTTAGCACTTCCTGGAGGCGGAGCTCAAAGTAGAGGGTGAAGGTGTGCTCGGCAACATTGTCTGATGGGCCACATGTCTGTCAATTGAAGTTATAATGGCTTAAAATTCCCCCCAAAAACTTCAATTAATTAAGCAGATACCTGCTCCGTGGGCAAAAAAATCACATTTAAATCAAGCATGACCTCTTGTAACAGAAAAAAAGTTCAGTTAAACTATGCATTAGTTTCACAAAGATATAGTAATAAAATATTAGTAATAAAGGTTGACGATGGGTCACCAGCAGCTGTATCTGGCTGTTTTTTACAGCTGTGATGGTACAGCCAGAGTAAAAGTGATGTAGACAGAACTGGCAGCTATGATCGAGAAAAGACAAGCTCTCAGATTTGTATTTGAGCTGGACGCCACAGCCACTAAAAAGTATGCAAAAATAATATCTGCACTAAAAACCACTGCAACATCAAATATACACTTGTTATCTCCAACAAAGAACAGTAACGTTAAAAATACATAAATACTCACATGTACTCACCACTGAGCAATGGTATGAACTATGCCCGCATATATTCAACAAGGCGCTGATGTAATAAGTCTGAAATCGCCTGAAGCTTCTTTCTGTGCTGTGACCTGCTTCACGCAGCTGGAATCCCCTCTGCATTTACAAGTAATTTTGCACCTCCATTATGGACAGCAATGGAAATATAACCAAGACCATCGTTTTTTGTGTTTTAAACATCAGGTTGTAAACATCTGACCAGGTCTGGAACACTTTTACCATATGATGGTAAACAAGGCTTTACTTTTGAGTTAATGTCTTCTAACAAAGTATTTAAAGTGGTTTCACTGATTAGATTTTGTGCATCAAGGAAGATCTGATGCACATAAGTTAACACTAGTAGTTCTCTTGCTTGCTTGCTTCACTTGTATTATTGATTATACTCTGGACATTAAAAGAGCCTCATGACTTGAGGAATTTGGGGTGGGTTTCAGGGGTTTCAGAGGGGGCAAACCCCAGATTTTGCCATAACCAAGCACCAAAAGTTTACCAGGTCACACTATGAGATCACACCTCCCAATATGAGATCACACCTGGCTCTGCAAGACTGCTAGTTGCCCCAGCATGGCAGTACTAAAAAAGACTAATGTCTTAAATATTAAATATAAAAATACAAAATGTAATAATGAAAATAAACCATAATGCATTACTTGCATAATGCATAAAAGGCTTCACTTGCTGTCTACAGTAAAGACTTCACATCCATTCAGGTTTGCAGGTTCTCTTTTGAGAAATTTATTTGAAATACTGTTCTTTTACATTACAAAAATCAAATATTTCATAACCCGAGGGGTTTGGCTTTCGGTTCCGGTATGCTGTAGTGTTTATGTATGTGTGTCTGAGAGAGTACGGAAGAGGGAGGGACGTCCGGCTCCACCTGGCGGGCACCGCGTGTGCCATCAGTACCCAAAGCAGAGTGTAAACAGTGAGGGGTGGGGGATTTAACGTAACACCTCTCGATCCACCAGGCTTCCAAAGGGAAGCAGCGTCCAGCACCACCTGCTTAGCAGGGAAAGGAAAGAGAGCGCTTCAATTTAAGACTCCTTAAATTCCACACGCAAGAAGAGGTCACATGGAGCAAAGTTCAAAGGTCAGCAGGATAAAAACAGTTTCAGTCCACTGGAGAGAGAGATATAAAGACAGAGAAAGAGAGAGAGAGCACCATATTCCCTTAGCTTTAGGTCCCGAGGAGAAGCTTGAGTTGAGGCTGTGAGAACAGCAGAGGATCGCTGGACTTCCAAAAATCACCCGAGCTGATTACAGAGCTGTCCTCTCTTCTGTTCTCCTCTCTTACAGAAGGCAGAAAACAGTCTGGAAACCTGTCGACTTCACAGTGACACAAAGTGAAAAAATGAGTTTTAGACTCTTAAGTTTAACTGTCATAAGTTTCAACAGTAAGAAGAGCAGTTTAGAGAAGTTTAATACAATGAAATGCACAGTACACACATTTAGGTAAACTTATCACACTTCTCATATTTGTGAAGGTTTATGTCCTTTCCAATGTCTTTATACATCGATTTGGAAGATTTATACATTTTCCAATGTCTTTTTTTTTCCTTAGAATAAAACAGGCCAATTTGTTGCTGTACGTTTAAGGCTGACATATGTAAATCTCTGTTCTGATTGGCTGTCCTAAATGGTGCCTAGTTCAAAGAGCAGGCCAGGCTGAAACACTCCTTAAAACTTCAGAATGGACGGGGATAAACGGTTATAGGCAGTCTTGGCTTTCATCACATCAAAAAAAAAAATGAATTCAAAACTGACCGTTTTGGTAGATTCATTTGCATATGTGGATTGGGTAGTAAATTGTATATTTTGAAAGTTTAAGTGTTTGCATACTACAATTCCAACAAATTATATCATCATAAAGTATAAAATTACCTTAATAATAAGCCTTTCTGAACATTGAGCATCGTCAGTCCTTCCACAACATTGACCAACAGAAATTTACATAAAAAATAAGTTTAGAAAAAGCTTCTCAATAGTGCAGCTGTTTAAAGATTCACAGCATCACTGGGAAATCACAAGTTTGAATCCTGGTGATACCAGGAGTCCAAAAGAACACAGTTGGTCCTGTTTAACTGGTTGTAGTGCCCACACCTACTCTCTTAAAATTAGAAATGATAAAGGGATACAAATTCAGATAATTAATAATATGGGATAATATCATTTTATAGTTTGATCTCATTTTTATACTCCAATAGTTACACAGCAGAAACTCGCAGTCTTACATAATATAAATATTGAATTCCTATTGAGTTCTGGAGTTATAATAACATGTGCCATATGTTAGGTAACACTTTGTTTGGAGTGGTCCTTTGTAGATGATTAATAAAGTCTTAACAGATTATCAGTAACACATCAACAGCATATCAGTAAAGCATCTGAATACACTGAAGAAAATATCTTGTAGATGTTCTGTTGATACATAACTTACATTAAGTAGATGTATTGTAAACATGTTACTTCCATTACACAAAACCTAACCTTACCCAATCTTACCCAACACCTCACCCTAACCCTGGCCCTAATCCTAACCCTACCCTCAACCTCAACCCAAAACCTAACCCTAACCACTCAAAATAAAGTGTCACCAACATATTTTACATTTAATATTTTTGTTATGCGAATTATGTTGGCGTTTTGTGTTCAGTCTGTACTGCTGTGATATATTGAAACAGGGTGGCTCGTTCTGGGCTCCTTCTGTGGCACAGTGTTTTAAGACTTTAACTTGTAAAATTATGCAGCTTTTAAACTTAAAAAAGTAAGTAATCAGGTTATATTGAATATTGAGTTCAGCAGATGTGTGATATAAAGTTAACAGAGGAATAATTTGTGTTTACATTTGTTAACTTAATACAAGTTCACTGAACTGAAACTTTCAAGTTAACCTAGTTATTTACTTTTTAAGTTTAAAAGCTGCATATTTTTTTACAGTCAGGGAGATTTGAAGCTCATATCCTGATGATGCCTCAACCAAAAAAGGGACTAATTATCAGCCTATTATCAGCAATATTTCAGTACTGGCTGATGTTGTTAGTCAACCATAATATTAGTCAGGCTCTAACACACAGCTCTGTAATCTCTCAGTCCGTCACTCAGTGAAGGAGGAGGAATGACCCCTGCACTCTGAATCCTAAGCCATTCACACTATTTTCAGGAACAATTGGCCAACAGAACCATGCACACGTAACGAAATTAGAATAACCGGTAGTGAAGGTGCTACTTGTTATTTATGTGTCAAGTTCTCTCTCACACAGCATCGCTACTCACCATTTCTGGCGTGTTGGAAGAGTTAGGACCAAAGAATGAAGGCTAAAGAAAAGAACAAAAATAAAAATAAAAACTGAACATGGAAACGTAAAATGGAGAACAGAACAGACAAGAAAAAGAGATAGGAAAGTCGTTTAGAAAAGAAAGAGTCAGAGAGATACAGTTTAAAATTACATACATGTGTATACTACGTGTACACTGTTAGAAATAAAGGTTCGGTCCAGGTACATTTTTTGTTCATCAAGGTACAAACAACGTAAATGTTCCCTCAAAGGTACAGCAGCGGTTTTAATGTCCAATTATGAACCTTAAGTTTTTCCCAGGTGAAAAATACATATTAGTACCTTTTCATAACCAAATGTTTTAAAACACAACAGTAAAATAAAAAGCCTGGAGATGAGACGGGGTGTGTGGAGTCAATACAACTTAGAAAATATGATTTCAATGGATTGTGGTACAGTTATGTTTCCTGACTAAAGGTACTGAGATGTACCCTTGAGGGTACCACCCCAGTGACAAGAGGGGTGCTGCCCCAGTGACAGTTTAGCACCTTTGTGTATGTGTCCAATTTGAAAAATCTTTGCAGATAAAAGTCTATAAGCTCAGATAACACTTGATACTAACATGTCTGAAGTGGTAAGTCGGTATAATTGAACAGCGAGACATATAGCTGTTTACACCTGTCATTTCTAGGAGCCTGGAATGCGTGTCCAAACAAACAGTAGACAAGACAAAATAAGAAACCATGCAGCTGCTTTCATCTTTCCTATCATGACACAGTTGATTACACAGTCTTTCCTTGCTGTTAGTGGTGTAATGTGATCATATGCATCCCTGACCATCTCTGACGGTGGTCTGAGTGATCTGATCACCCCGTCCACACCTGGATTTGCTTCCCACTCAGGATTACACCAGCCAGGATGCATGTTAATGTCAGGTGTAGTTGGGGCCATAGATACACACATGAATGCTCACATACATATGTGCAGTTCATACCTTTTCTTCTAATTCCTTTATCTGTCGTTTCTGTGCTTCGATCCATTCTTCTAGCTCTTTAATTCTCTGCAGAGGTCATAAGAGAAGGTTACACTCAAATAAGCACTCATATTTGTATACGTAGCTGAAGTTCAGCCTTCAGAAAAATAAAAAACAGTAAATGGAGCAAAAACTTCCCATCAAACACTATATGGCCAAAAGTATGTGGACACCCCTCCTAGCTATTGAGCTTAGTTGTTCCAGCTACACCTATTACTAACAGGTTTATAAAATCAAGCACATAGCCATGCGATCTCCCATCTCCATAGGTAACGCCATATTAATGCCCATTGTTTTGGAATGGGACATCCAACAAGCTCTTACTGGTGTGATGATCAGGTGTCCACATACTTTTGGCCATAGTATACAGTAGTATCTGTATTATGTTCATCGTAAAGGTTCTTCAGCAAAACATTTTTACTTTTCTTAAACAGAAAGTTGGTTCTAAAAGTTTACTGACAGTACAGTACTGCAGTATTAATGACCATATTATAAAGTTGCTGACTGCAGCATATATTTATTGTACACTGCAGACTATAATTACCTGTTGAGCATGCTGCAGCAGCTCCATCCTCTCACGGAGTATCTGAGCATCTCTCTCCCGTAATTCGCTGAGGACCTGCCTCTTCCACTGATCGACAGCTCTCCTGAGCGAATCTCGATCCTCCTCCGAAAGCAGCTCGGCCACCTTAGCTCCCGCCTCCTCCTGCTGCAGTGCATCAAACAACATCGCCTCCAGCTCCAGGATACGCTGAGAGAGAGAAAGAGAGAGAGAGAGAGAGAGAGAGAGAGAGAGAGAGAGAGAGAGAGAGAGAACCACAGAGAAAGACAGAGAGAGAGAGAGCAAAGAAATCCAAGCAGAGGAAGGGTGGGGTGTGGACCAGTGATGACTACATTGTACCACCAGAGGGCATATAGAGACAAATTGAAGGAGATCTGTATAAATTCTGTAATATAATTTTTCTGTAATATAATTTTAAATGAAATGATTTGTCTAGTTAATTCAAACCATAATCTAGTGAATGTGGATCAAGGTGTGTGATCTGTTTACCTTATTGGCCTGATCCATCGACTGTTTCCTGTAGTCCAGCTCTTCATCTAAATATCCCTTCTGTTTACTGAAGAGCTCCTTTGGGTGCAAAAGAGAATGAAAAACTGACCATCAGTGCAATTCAGATGACACTTCATTTAAAATGTGTTTGTATGACAACAGGGAGCATAAACTGACACATATAAAGCAACGACCTTTAACACCGTAAACAATGCTGTATATATTTAATAAACTCTCCAGTCTCTGGGAGGCCTTAGCTCTCCATTTGTGGGCTCATACCAATTTCCAATATTTTTAAGAGTTTTGCAAAGAATGATAAGGTCACACATAATTTAGCAGATTTATATCAGACCAGTACAAGCATTTTAAATATATATATGTTTATGTATATAATTGAACATTTGAAGCAAGTTTTAATAAAAATATTGCTTAGTCAACCAGAGAACCCACCCCCCAAAAAACAAGATGGCTGATACTCATATTTCACTCTAGAAGAGCCTCTTGCATAACAAGAAAGAGCAAGAGAGTCTTCCACAACTGTATACTACTCATTTTTACCAATGCACCTGCTTTTTATCCCACCTATTCATACACACACACACACAATATGTGTATATATATATATATATATGTGTGTGTGTGTGTGTGTGTGTGTGTGTGTTTGTCTTAGTATATGCATGTATCATACATATTGTAGAGTATTGTAATATATTCTGTATACTGTATAGTAATCTTATGGTGTAAATATGTGTATGTAAGATAACTACAATTAATATAATAGGGGGCTGCAATGAGGAGAGATATAAAAAAATTGTTAAACACACATATACACTAAATCTGTACTTAGTGTATTAATATTATTATGTATTTTAATTTTTTATGGCCAAATAAACACCAACTAATAGCTTTTCAAATCAAATTTCTGAGTAAATATTAAGTAAAGAATATTATACTATAACTAAGATACTACTAAACTAAATAAATATAGTTTATATTCTTAATAGTAGTAGTATCTTAGTAATAGTACAGTGTTCTTGACTTTATTTATATTATTTTCTTTATTTATACAGTATTTTTACAGTGTTTTAAAAGAGTGAGAGGAAGTGCAGAGTAAGAACTTCACTGTGCAGTATAACTGTCTCTTCCCATCTGAAATTTTTTTTATTAAATTGTACTTGACAATGTATACGCATTTACCTTCTCACTCTCAATGTCCAGCATTTTCTGTTGTAATGCCGATTTGGTCACCTCAATTTGCTCTAGCCACTGGAAGGAAAGAACAGGACACATTCAGCTAAGACACATTCAGCACAAGAAATCAGGAAAAATAGCCTTAAAAAAGAAGAAAAGGAAAAGAGACAGTACCTTTTCTGCTAAAGCTAAAACTGTTCTAGCATGAATGACGGCCACCTGCTCCTCATTGCTGAGATTCTGTACGAAGCAGCAAAACGAGGCCAAAAAGTCATTTTAAGCTATTGAGATACATTTGTACAACAAACAGTAGGGCGCATTTCCTACAGGTCTATGGACACACACGTTTACGTATGAAATGAACATACACTTACGGCGTTATCCCCCAGAATGTCCAGTTTTTTCATCAAGTCTGTGATGATGATGTCCTGATAGGTGGGAAGAAAAGGGGAAAGTGTTACAGAACCACAACAGTCACAAGCAGAACTCCACAATATAGCAGACAGTGTTCAGTTTTGAATATTCTATCCTCACATAACTTAAAGCAAGATGTACAAAAGAAAGTAAAAGGAATAAAAGGAATGAATGGTAATTAGTTTTCATAAACTAAGCCATATATTGTTTATTTTCTTTACTGTAATTTATTTACCTGTAGACGACGTGTTTACTTATTTGCAATTTATTGCAAATGACTTTCTATATGACAGGTTAGACAAGTCTGCACTTCTGACATTTTTTGTGCTTATTTCAAAGTCAACAAATGACAGCAAAAATGTAAAAGATATTATTATAACATGTATCTCCCCTTCAATTTATGAACACAAACTGTTATTACCAGAAAGAATTAGACTTTCTTTGCTTACTTCAATAATCTATGAGTAAGAAATAGTTAGTAACAAATTACAATATGCTTTTGTTTTTGCAACAAAGATTTACAAGAATTATCTTTCAGGTTTAAAGAGCCCTAATCCCACACTCATGTATTGTATCTCACCAATATGAATAACTTCTACATCTTGAAACTTTGTTTGAAACAATATTTATATATGACTATATATAAATGAGATATTTTATATATTATATATGAATGTTTATATATCAACATCTTTTATTTCCAAAACCCAAGGACATTTTTCCATGATATGGTTCCTCTAAATATACCTCAGTATTAAGCATGTTTATTGTGTTTAAAAGCCAAAACGTTTTCAAGTAAACTCACAGTGACGCCCTCTGCCTCACAGTACACCTGCAGTGGGCTCATGCCATCTGCAAAGTGGATATTCTGGAAGTTTATGGCTGGAGATCTCCTCTCCCTCTCCTGGAGAAGGAAAATGGGAATATCACTCAGGAATTCTGGCACCACTTAGACGATGAACTGTATGTTCAGGGTTATATGACAACCTGTCGGCATGTGATCATGTGCTGAAAACAATGCATGTACACAAAAAGGACAAAAATATGTGGACACCTTTCTAATTCTTGAGTTCAGGTGTTTCTGGCACACCCATTGCTAATAGGTATACATAAAACAAGCACATAGCCATGCAATCTCCATAGAAAGACAATGGCAGTAGAATGGGTCGTACTGAAGAGATCAGTGGCTTTAAGTGTGGCACTGTAAAAGGATGCCACTTTTGCCACAAGTCAGTTTGTAAAATGCCTGCCCTGCTAGAGCTGCCCCAGTCAACTCTAAGTTCTATTACTGTTTTATCCTATTTATTACCATTTAGCCAAATAATGTATAATAATGTATGATCCTACACCATTGTTTTTTAGTTATATACTTTGAACAAAATACACTGTAAAGAAAATGTGGCCAGCGTGTTCGACCGAAACATAACTTCATGTGGTAACCAGCAGTTCAACTGGCTTGATTCAACTCAAATAAATGCTTTGAGTAAAACAATACAAAGGAAAAATATAGTTCAGATGAACAGCAGTAGTTCTACATCAATTCAAACCTCTTCAAAAACACTTCATATCAACTTCTTTCTGCTTCACTTTCCACAGTGTGTCAGATACATATTTCATGACATTATACTTATCTGAGTGTTTTGGTACAGTCTTTGCCCATTATAGTCAAACATTAACCTGAACACTGTTAAACAAAATCCCTATATATTTCAGTGATGTGGAACACACAGCAAGAAAAGTGTGTAAACATCATCACAGCACTTCAAACTTACTTCAAGTTCTAGAATGCGGAACTCTAAGAGCTCATTTTGGTCTTTTGCATCCTGAATTTCATGCTTTAAGCGCATCTCTTCTGTCTCCATATGTTTCAGCTGTTAAAAAATACAGAAAAAACAAACAGGTCTTAATTTTGCTGCAGTAAAGATGGAAAAAATAGAAAGGAGTTTTATGATGCACACCTTCTCCACCAGCTCCTGGTTCCGTTGGTATAAGGCCTGCTTCTCCTCAATCCACTTTACATCCTGAAAGACACAAGGAATAATAGGTAATAGGTATCTTCAGTCTACAAAAAAGGTTAAAAGCTACTGTTGTCTTGAATTAAATTAAAGTGAAAGAAAAAATATTAAATCACAAAATAATTACATTTAAGATTTGGAAAATTCAGTTTAAGAAAACATTTGTCATTAGAATTAAATGTAAATAAATAAAGTGTACATTAATGGCAACTATAATGATTCTATTCCAACAATACACCTGAAAACCTAGCATGTGACTTTTTAACAAAAACTAAAAATGTAAACAAATAAATTCATATTAAGAGCAGCAATAAGAATAAAATTTAAATTGCATGCCTGCTGCCTGTTGCCCCACTGGAAGTAAAGGATGACACCTAATTTGTTCAATGTGTTTTAAACCCAATTTCCCCCCAGTGTAGCAAGTCTCTTGCTATTATAAAATGAAGGCAGAGACATTATAAAGGAGGAGGAGACAAAAACATGTTTAGATCACACTACTTTTCCATACAGCTCAAATGTAAGCATTTTATGGCAGTAGTTAAGCGGTAAAACACAATCATGTTAGTTATGTGTGTATTTTACACTCTTCCATGCTGTCTTACTTGTTATTCAGAGAAATAACAAAGCTTTAAAGTTTGAGCTACTTAAGTGATTTTGCTTTGCATATGCATTCTTAGACTGTATGGGTGCTATAATAACAATAACATGAACAAAGCTGGGCAAAACATAGACTCAAAATCACATGGCTTCCTACTCCCTATGTAGTGTGCACTATGTAAGTCATAAAATAACAGCTTCTACACACATATAATGTCTAAATGAAGACCATTTATATTCCGTCAAAACTGCTTTTTTAAGGTTTAGAAGCCATGACCAATACAGAACACTACATAGGGATTAGGGAACCATATGAGATTCAGCCATTCATATGCTCAAATGCTTCACAAAAAGTATATTAACAATGAGCAGGCTTTTTGTACGTAACCCTCCCAGCTTATTGTGCTCTAACCTGAATGTTTTTACTCACAGATAGAATGAAACTTAATACTCAGTACTAGAATTAACCTAGGAATGAGAAAAAGACAACTTACACAATGATCTCTGCACTAAAAACTGCTTTATAGTAATACATGAGGCTGGTGTAGGTTTACGATTTGCTAATATTAGAGCAGATCTGTTGAAGCATGTTTCCCCAAGCTAATCTGCAAATATAATGAATGCATAATACAAAAAGATGGCATGCAGGGTACAGACCGGGTAGAGTGCGCATGCGTGACAGTGGTGCACATGCAAGGTGCAAATCAGGCAAGCAACGCAGTTCAGGCAGTGACAGCTTGTGAGGGTCAACATGGTGTCTGTATATGGGGAAAGCCCCACCCTTCAATAAGAACCAACCAGCTTGCTGGCAAAGCCGAAAGTGGGAAAAGCCCACCCTTGCTATGGAGATATGTGCATGTGCAACAGCCTGAACAAGCTGAAAACATATCTTTTTGTGTGTTATTTGAGCCAAATGCTACAAACTATCTGTGTGATTTTTGTCAGACTTTACTAGAGATTTCAAATATGATTTTGAAATGTTAATGTGACTTTCAGTTTTGGTTTATAAGTGTCCACTCAAAAAGAGAGGAGCCTGGGGTCCTTTTCAGAAACTTCCAATCTTTTGTCCTAAGTTAAGATCTGACAAAGTCGAGATTATTTTATTTGTTTTTTTACAAATTTGCATTACAGAAGCAAATACTGTCTTAATTAAATAAAGACATCTTATCCTACAGCATCTTATCTCAAGTTAGGAAATCTGAAACAACTCAAGGTCGATAAAATTGTTGGTAATGTAACTTCGTCGGACAGCTCAACATGCTTGGAGAAGAACACTAACTGCCAATTCTGTTACGCCAGCTAACAGACACCAGGGACTGAACTCACACTTAGATAGCTGCACCATTCGGGAGATTCCCCTGTTTAACATTTAACATTACCAGTTGCAATGCATCTCTGACTGTGTTTTAAAGTCCCTAAAAAGTTTTGGATGCAGCTTTCCAGTCAAGATTTGGTTCATTAAAGCAGGTAACATAGGTGGATAATAACTGCAGGTCAGTGGACTTTATTTCCTCTTGGTCTCCACTTGGTCTTTCTCTTCCCAGCCAGGTGACAGAAATTACATTGCTCCCTCACCTACTCAAAGCCCCCTAAACCCCCTCAAACTCACATATTCAGTGTAATCTGTGAGGGTGCTTTGTGGGAGTAATCTGTGAGGGTGCTTTGTGGGCTATTTGTGAGAGTGTGATTGTGAGTGTGGGCGTGAGAGAGACAATTTTCCTCCTCAGTTGAAAAACGAGTCTTAGTCCTTGTGGGAAATTCATCAGAGCAGATGAGGCTGCTGCACATTTCCCAGTACTGATCAAATCACTTCATGACGATAGCCTCACTGGCCAGCTGCTCATGTATGTGTAGAGATGCCGCAGGGCTACCTGTCCCTGCTGACTCAGCACACGCTCAAGGTCTGCTATTCTGGTCTGATAACGGTTCAGCTCTGCCTGCAACTGCTCTCGTGTCTGTGGAGGAAAAGCAATGACATAAATGAAAGGTAGGTTAAAAATTAAAGCTTATAGCCACAGCCATATGCAAAAGTTTGGGCATTGAGGAAAATGAGCGAAAATAAGAGAACACACTGTTTCACTTTTTAATGAACAACTACTGTTTATTTGCTGGATTTAATATACTGGGAAAAAAATTACCATCACATGTGGCCCGTGCTAAAGCCAAAGCACATTTTATATATTATGTTTAAAAAAAAAATACTTAGAAACTGTGCACAATTTGTCAAATTTAAGTTTGCTCAAACCCCACTACACAACACTGACATGACAATGCCATAAACATGGAAACACAAACTACCGGTAATACTGGCATCTGTCATAACAGTTACAAATAATGGTAACATGTCACTGTTATACTACTGGACATAACCTGCCATGAGAGCCCATATGTCATGAAATGTTTATGACACTGTCATGTCAGCGTTGTGTAGCACGGTTCAAGTAAAGTGTTACTGTAATTTGATTACATTTGATTGGGGGTCTTCATACTTATGCATGCGACTGTATTTAAAGAATACAAACAAAGCAAAATGATGCCATTCTCTACATCATAAAAAAATGTAAATAAAAACAGAAAGCACTGCATTCAACTGAAAATATTACAAAGACAAGATATTTAATGTTTCAGCTAATTAACTTTATTGCTTTTTTGAATACTTGTTCTAAAGTTGATGCCTGCAACATGCTTTGTTCTGCTGGGACAAAGCCATGTTTACCACTGTGTTACACCATCTTTCCTTTACACAACAAGTAATTATTTGGGAACTGAGGACACCAGGGTCTCTACTGTCGTATATTGTGTTTCATAACGTACCACATGTTCTCAATGGGAGACAGGTCTGAACTGCAGGCACTGTCTTACTACAAAGCTACACTGTTCTAATACATGCAGAATGTGGGTTGGCCTTGTCTTGCTGAAACAAGCAGGGACGTCACTGGAAAAGATGTTGCTGATATATGGCTACCACTCTGCGTAGTATTGTATTTGCAGCTACAGCAACAAACTGTTTACTGACAATGGTTTTCTGTTTATGACTTTTTTGCCCATAGTTTCTGACTCTGTCTTTCTGACTAACCCTTTGGATTGTCTGCCTTTTGTTATCTCACCGTTTTTTGACCTTTTTGACAGTCTTCTGGAATTTGTCCTTTTGCCAAGCCCTTTGGATTGTTTGCCTATTTTTATGTTTTTGCTCTGGTTGTATTTTCTGGTTTTGACCCACGCCTGTTTTGTGACTACGAGCCTGTTTTGCGATTCCAACAGTAAAGCCTCTCTTGTTCGTTTTTACCGCGAGCGTCTGGCTCATTCTGTGCCGTTACATCAGCCTTGCACTTCTTGCAAAGAACTTTCTCCAGATTCTCTGAATCCTTAATAATGCTATGCGATATCCCTAAAATTAAGCAACACTCTTCTTAAACTGTTGGTTTCTTGGCTCACGCAGTTTTATGCAAAGTGGAGACTGAGCCTTTTGTGAATGCTCCTTTTATACCCAATGATGATGGTAACACCTCTTACCTATTCACCTGTTTACATGTGGAAAGTTTCAGAACAGGTGATTTTGATCATTCCACAAACATCCCAATCTAACGCTGCCCCTGTCCCAACTTTTTTGGACTGTGTTGCTGGCATCGAATTTGTAGTTAGCATATATTTACAAAAATCTGCAAAGTTGATATGGTAAAGCATTACATATCTATTCTTTGTGATGTTTTCAATAAAATACTGTTTGCTGTTTTTATTTGCAGTTTACCTACTGTCTCATGTTTCTGAAACTGAATTTGTACAATATATATAAACCTCATAACCCCATTTGTTTTTATTTTCATTTTTTACATCATTTGAAAACATGTGCTGCCCTTTCCATTGTGCAACCATTTCACCAGAAATGGAATCAAAGAAACAACTTGGATAAAACTGTTACAGAAGATCCATCTTGGAGATATGCATAATTTAATTTTTTCAAATGTATTAATATTTAGGACTATGATGATAGTAGGACCACCGAGCACTCTGACATCACCCCACATCGCACCACAATGTAATTCACCTTGACTTCTTTCTCAGCATCGAAGGTGCCTCCGACCTGTTCCTGAAGCAGAGCGTAGGCACGCTGCAGGGCCTGATATTCCATCGTCAGCTGACGAAACCTCAGCTCAGTCTCTTCTTTCATCATTCCCTACACACATCACACCAGAGTGAGAAGCCACACGCACTCATACATAAACACATATAGAAAACACACAAAGATGCACACAAAAATGCACCCACCTCCTCCAGATCATCGTCTGGTGTGCAGGGTGTTCTATCAGTATGGTAGGATATGGATGAGCCATCAGAGTCTATAGAGCCTTCTTCATCATAGCCATAGAATGTCTCAACTACTGGCTACAGGGCAGAGAGACAGAGATGGTAGATGATGAGAGGTACAGTAGGGTCAAACTCAAGTATTTTAAAATCTTCTGATATTACTATGGAAGCTTAAACCAACACCATATAGGCAAAAGTTTGTAGACACCCCCTCATCAAACATTTCCTTTGAAATGTGCTGATGTTAGATGACCATGCTTGGCATTGGGCATGGTGACCTTAGGCTCATGTGCAGATGCTCAAGAGTGTTCTATTCTATTGTCAATGCTTATCTAAGGAGATTATACAAGCTGTGTGCACAATGGAAAGCCTGTGTCAGCAATGGATGAACCTTGGGCTGTCTCAATACTTTCCGGACATGAATTGTACACGGGAAGTGGGGACATAATCAAAATTCATCTTTAAATTTGTATTATAGTTTAGTGACTGAGGCTTTAGTACCTTACAAGCCTTGAAGCTCCTCTTCCTGCGTGCAGTGTCTTGCCTCCTGTACCTTAGCAGCATGTCTCTTTCCTAAAGGCAAGAAGACATGAGTTACTGACCAAAACAAGACCATGTCAAGCGAGTAACGCATGTTACACATGTAGGCAAATGCAGCTTTAGGAGTCTTGTTGAAGGACTATTAATGGTGTAGGGTGGTGCGCCTGCCAGAACGGAGAATCGATTCCGAGTTCTGCTGTGTGGAGGGCAGTGGTACCCTTCAAATAGTAATAATCCTAGCTCTTTAAAGGGGAATGCCACCAATTTTTTTTAACATTCCTGCACAATTAATTCGTGGTGATGTAAACAAAGTCTTTTGGAGTGGTTTGGTATACAATGCTCCATGCTATAGAAACTTACCAACTTGCATATCTTTACTGTGGTGATCATAAAGGGGATCGCAATGTCTACAACATGAATATAGCCATTTTATTTACTATCCAAAACCACCAGTAAACCTACACATGTCTTCTGAGTTTTTATATGTAATGTTGATGATGGTAAAATAGGTAAATCTGAAAAAAATATTTTTCTTTAAGAACTATTTTGCCTTGCAACAGCCTGCATGTACCTTACCACTATGAACATATTTTTAAAAAATACATTTTAGGTAAAAATCTTCTTTCAGAACTTTTGTAAAACAATGTCTCAGACAACAGGAGGCGCATTCTTAACTGTAATACTTTTCTGTAAGTTAGCTTTTAGAGACATTAAATACTTCAGACGTCTGGGTCCTATCACCATTACCGTTAAGAAATCACTCTCAGTGACTTTGCTTGCATCTTAACCATTTAATTATGTATAAATTTTGAAAAAAATGGTGGAATTCCCCTTTATGCATTTATTTTGGTAATGTTTAGATGTCACTCTTAGATTAGATGTGCCACGCATTGTTTTCTATGTATTTAGCTACTGTTCTCAAAACCAAAGTCTGCCCTGACCCTATAGCGTTTTTAGATGCAATGTGAAGCACCTCATGGACCTCACTCATATTTAGCAGGCTGAAGATTCTCCACAAGGGGGCAATATTAGCATTTTGATGTTAGTGGGTTTTGTTGCTTGTGGTGTTTTTTAGATGTGATGCAAGGCACCTCATGGAGCTACCCCCCTCCCCCCCACTCCCTCCCTCAGTCTCTCACACATTTAGCAGGCTGAAGGTGGGATATTACTTTTTTGATATTAGGTTTTGGCGCTTCATAAGACTGGTGCTTTGCATCAGTGACACTATGTGTCCTTGTTAGTTGACAAATAATTTTCATTAGATAGTTTGTGGGAACTTGCAGAACAGCAGTATGGAAGAATACAAATAAAGGTGGGCTATTTTATTAAATATTAAATATATATACGAAGAGGTGTCTATAAATAACGGAATTAATATACTGCATGATTTTTTCTTTACATAGAAACGTGCACAAACGCAGTTTAACATGAGGGCATTTTGATGCAAATGTTATTCACCCTTTGAGAAAAGAAAGAAAGAAAGCCTACAACATTCACGCTTCTTATTATCTTGTAGTGAATTAATTACCGGGATATTTTTGTCCTGAAAATGTTGGCATTGTGTAAATGGAGCAGGATAAATAATGAAATATATTCTTGATAGGGTTGCCAAATTAACACTTCATCCCACATTCTTAACGAGTGAAAAGAACTGATAAAGTCCCGGTAAAGAAGTGTTGAAACAGCCCCACAGCACAGCATGGTGTCATATTGAGTTCACAAGGCTATTTTTAACTATGCTGAAGTCTTGTCCAATAGGTTCAACATCTCTCTTGAAAGCAATGCAATTCAGCAGCCTGAGAAATCCATAACTACTGTACATCAATGGTACATGTGCATCAACTGATGAAGCTAAACATCTACCTATCACAAAAGAAAATGTGGTTTTAAGATCATTGTTAGAATTAAACTGATATGCTCAGGTTATCAACACATAAGTGATATATTAAACACTCAGCAAAGTCCAGATGTTAAAAACTACGAGCAGAAATATGTTTAAATACAGCTTAAAAACCGCTGATCAAACCCATCTAAGAATTGTGAGAATGTGGTCCAACTATTCTAATGAGCACAGGAACACAGACAGACAGATGAGCTAGTTTAATAGTTCAGTTATGTATGTATAAGTTAGCTTTTGCACAGTCGTTTTTGCTTGCTATGTTTTAAACTCAAAGAGAACATAGTTTTTTGGTGGGCAGGACAAACCACATCAGCTTTGAGATTGGTGAGGATGCAAGTTTTACCCAATTTCCACCCAGTTTATACAGAAAGGGAAGAATTCTGGCAGAATACTCTGGCCCTTTAGTGGACACTGGAACGTTACTGATAGGGCATATTTTGTATATGTATATTGACTAACTGAATTAGAAAGAAAATACAGAATTAGGCCCCTGGGATTTCCATTTGGCAAAGCTTAAAATACTAGAAGTAAACAATAAGCTTGGCTAACTTACTATTACACTCTTCACGTATCCAGCTGTTTCAAATGCCTGCAAAACAAAAACATTCAGTAACGAGACATCATCCAGATAAAACATTACACAGCCTTTTCATACATAATTTTCTGAATCTTAGATCAATATGAACTACCAATTTTCATTTTTTCTAAATAATTACATTTTCTAAAACGTTACAGAAATGCTTGTGGACACCATGCATTACAGATGTTAATGAAGAGTAAAAAGACAACTGACTTCTAATGTGAATCTAATGTGCATCTAATGTGTATCTATCTGTTCCCACTCCATCTTTGCTGTCAGAACAAAACCTCCTTTCTTTTTCTTTTTTTTTTACATTACTCTGATACATCTAGACATTTAGGCCCAATCCCATTACTTATTTTCACCCCACCCCTTGTTTTTGAGTGTCACCTTGCCCCTTGGAACTGAGTTACAAGAGGTAGTGGTTGAAATCTTCCCTTATGAAATGGAACAACCCTCAAATAAAGAAGATCATTACTTCATTAACAAGCTACTAGTGCTGCTCTGTAGGTGACCCTACCAATCTGCAGTGATGGCAGAGGAGGGTAAAGTTCAGCAATCTCGCTGGTGGTCTTTAGTTAAATTGTGAGCATCATATGCCTTCAAAGAGGGGGGATGCGAAATTATTTATTATCGCCCACCCCTGATTTTCAGTGATATGAAGCCGAAGTATTCTTGTTCAAATTTCCCAGTTCCACCTTAAAGAGTCCAGCAGTTCTGACCCCTGAGGTGCCAAAATGTAACTGCTGCACCATTTAAGGTGGAACGGAAAATTTAGCTGGCTAGCTACTGAGACATCCGTAAACTACAGTGATTTTTTATGCTGGCTATGAGGAAAACGACGATAACACAACGGTCATCGTAATTTTTAACAGAGAAAATTCTCACATTTGTGGGTTTCTTTGGTCGCTTGTGCCATCTTGCTGTTTTTTTTTCTCATAACACTCCGTTTGGAGTGTCCCTCTGAAAAACCTCTGTTTGGAGGGCCATGTAGCCCTAACACTTCACCCTACCCCTCCATCTCAACAACAATTGGTACACCCTACCTCTAGGCGTGAACGCCCAAAATGAAGGGCTAAGGGCTAAGTGGTAGGGGCAAGGGGTGAAATGGGATTGGGCCTTAGTGTCTCTATTTACATGTAATACAATAGGTAGGACTATCCACTTCATCATAAATATGCTAGAGCGATTAATCTGAATCTTATACTATGATGAGTAACAGAGGGCTTGCCTTGTATTAATGTCAAATTCCTGACCAATCAAAAAGCTCCATGTGTATTATATATTGCATTTTAGCTGTTGCAATGTGAAAACAACTGAACCAATGAAAAAAGATACAAAGGCACAAAAAACTCAAACTCTGGTTCAGACATTAACAAATAAACAGCCTAAAAACAGAATTCAGATTTCAGTTGACAATGAATTGGTAAAGCAGAATCCAACCTTGAGATAAAGCCTTTCGTTTTCTACATGTCCTCCTCATTAAACATTCATGTAGAGCCACTGAGTGATATGTTTGTGCTGTTTGCTGGTAATGGCACCATGTTAATGCTCTTCAGTAATAAATTTTACTGGCAGTAACTGCTAATCTGGAAGCGTTCACGCTATTCTGTGTGATTCATTGTAATGTAACGGCTGAATGCAAATAACTGTGTGTGTCACAGTCCAAGTAAGCATGAGGGACGCGTGTATGTGTGTGTGTGTCTGTGAGTGTCGGAATGTGCGGGTGAAATAACAGAGGGCGTTGTTGTCATGGCAATACCTTGGACAGATCATCAATGATGTTCTGCTGTTCGAGGACCTGCAGTCTCAGGAACTCGATCTCTCTCTCCTCCTGGCTCTGGTCCAGGTCGTTTAGAGAGCTCGGCCGGCGCAGCGTCCCCACTTTCTCCCTCTGCCACACACACACACACACACAGCACCCCACAGTTAACTGCTTATTCATGGCACTGTTAACTCAGGCTCAGCCGTTAGCCATCACACACAATGCTGTTAGCTTAGCATGGACCATTAGCCTCTGAAGGCCACACCATTAGATTACAGGCAGACAGACTACCCTGACCTGACCACCATTAACAGATAGTAAGTGATATTATAGACTAAAAGGGACAGTTATTAAAAGCAATTGAGTCTTTCTCAAATCAAATTCAACCTTTCTATTTAATACCTTCTGCTTAGCACTGAGTGAACTGGAGACAATTTTCATTTTTGGTTTACTGGATGTCTCAGTTGAAAGTGGGTGAATTAGGGTTATGGTTAAGTTCTTAAAGGAGCAACATCCTACATTTTTTACATATTTTATTTTTCCCTTGAAGTCTTTCCCTTATGACATTTGTAAGGGTCAAAACAGCCATATTTCATTTCTACATGACTGTTTTAACTCTTACTTGTAGCGTAGTGTCGCACAGCATAGCAGATACGGTCCCAATTGCCGCTATACCACAGAGAATGCCTATAAACGTCAACAGGGTTGCCAACTTCAGTGAGGTAACTGGAGTGAGATTTTCAGGTGGGTGGAGTGAGGCTGGAGTGAGATTATCAGGTGGGTGGAGTGAGGCTGGAGTGAGATTATCAGGTGGGTGGAGTGAGGCTGGAGTGAGATTTTCAGGTGGTTGGAGTGAGGCTGGAGTGAGATTTTCAAGCGTGTATTCACTGTTACTTTGCTTAGAACACTAATTTAACAGCCTCTAGTCATTAGCATGTAGGGCCATCGTTCTTAAACCAGCCCTCAGGGACCCTCAACTCGTCCATGCTTTTGCTCTAACACAGCTCCAGTTGCCTAAACAAAGTCATTACGAACACCAAACCTGGTACAGGCGTGTTGAAGCTGGATAACAGCAAAATGTATTTTAAGGCAGCAGTTTTTGAACTGTTTCTACTGTTGTTGTTGTTCATGGCAGAGACAGTTCAGTGCTGTTTACTATGATTGTGCTTTATATCTTCATAAGTAGGGTGAGATTTTTTCCGAGAAGCATTAAGTAAAGTCATACCATTACATTTTGATGGAAGCAATTAAACAACTGTAATGGATTAACATGTTGAGTAACTGCTGTTGGCAGCAGATGACGGGAATTTGAAATGAAAAGAAACAGGAGTTCAAAGGAGAGCGCTTTCTGAAGCTGCTCCTCGCTCCGGCCTCAAACACAGGACTCTGCTTCTCTCCACAACACTTTCTCTGGGTGTGTGACATAAAAAGGCAGAGCAGCGGGAGATGTGGCCAGTGTCCTATCAACAGGCTACGACACAAACCAATTGGATTTCATCATGCAGAAAGAACATGAAATAGTGTTGGTTGGTTTGCTTCAGATTTCTTTGAACAGCATGAGAGCTTGAGAAAAGACCCAAAATTGTGAGTCTGATGCCAAAACTGTGAGAGCTGGTAACCATGTGTCAAACTCAAGTTCAATAAAACTTTACTTTGTCTGATCTCAGCTAACTAATTCTTCATAAACTCACTGTTTTGAGCTAAAAGATGAGGTGAGAAAGGACTAAGATAGTAAGTAGAGGTAACAGAAGAGTATCGTTTGTTTGTTTGTCTGTTACCTAAAAGACTTTAGAATTACTGCCTCTCTCTGTGTAAGTTTTAAGCCATCTACTGTGCTTCTTGTGGTCTGGTTCAGGGTTTAAATTCAACACAGTAATGGCAAAATGGTGAGTGGCGCGCAGAGAAAATGAACATGTCAATGTCGACTGTCAGCGCTGACGTGCGTACCTTCTTTAAAAGCAATGATTTCAAATTTTTGGACGTCTGGTGTGCAGCAACCTTCAGAATTAAACACTGTGCTTTTCAGACTGATTTATGTAAATGAACTCTGAATTCCTGAGAGGTAATTTGCATGTTTAATGTACATATAACTGCTGTAGACTGAACAGGTGAGTACAGATCACTGTTCAAAATTCTGGAATCACTTGCTGTAATAACAGTTGTTATTCAATAACACCTTACATAGTGTTGACTGAAATGTTATAAACTAGATACCAAAATGTGAATCGCTAGTTTACAATTTAAAGTATAATAAGAAGTTATTATATTTTTTAAAAAAATTGCAAATATATTAAATAATAAACTGTGATTATCTATTTATAATTACTTTATGTCATAAAATTACTTTGAATAGCTATTGGATCACCAAGACTTGGCCAGTTGGTCATTTTTGAATACAAGACAATACAATACATACATTAAATTTATTACAAGTTAATCCTCTCTGCTTTCTGAATTATTATGCAATCATCTACAGCTATGCACATTATCAGCAATTTTGTCATTTCTACAGCTTCTTAAAAATTGTTTGAACCCATAGAACATTAGCATTATATTAGAATCATTTGATACACGTATCTACAACAATATTTGTTTTATGTTATTAAAAATGATGATTCCAATATTTTGCATGGCGATTCCAAACTTTTTTCCAATGGGAGTGTATGTAAATCCACTGGTTTTTATGACATCACATAAACATTAAATTGGAAATGAATTGTTTTTTTTTTTTGGCTTAGTTTCAATGTATGCATAGTAAGAAATGAGCAGAGCATTTTGAAATGTAATAATGTTTACATACCACATCAATGGGAGAAAGGAGGTGAGAAAAATGCGGTTTTCCATTATGTGGGCCCTTGAACACTTACATTTGTCTGGCCCTCCAGAGTCTCCACATAGAGCTTGCTGATGAGTTAATCAGTTCTGTCAGAGCAGAATAACTAGAACAATGCGAGACTTTTACAGAGGATCATTTACAAGGCGTCCTAACCACTTCAATGCTGCTAGAGATCTAGAAAAACGATATCAGTTATGGCTCTGCTGACACAATCAAATTGATACCACTGGGAGAGCTAATTAACTTCTCTCATCAAGAGAAAAGATCAGTGCCTATTATAAGAGGGACAGGCAGGTATTTATAAGCACTGAAACCAATCTTCTGATTTATACACTGTAGATAAAAGAATCTAATGGGTTGGCTGAACACACTAACACTTAATCACTCATAGCTATATTGGGCAACATTAATCATGTTTTGTTTACCTGACATTATGGCTGTGTTACATAATACATCTGAATATCTGTAGTACACACTAAACGGATCGTTTCATTGTAAGTTTTGTTAATGTGCTGGAGAAAAGCAGTCATTATGATGGTGGCTGTGCACCGTAGTTGAAAATGGACAAATATGCTTCACAGCATTAATCCAAATGTGAGAGAAACACAGAGAACAGCAGGTTTGCTAAGTCCTCCTGTTGTAAAGCATTAAAACATAGGAGCTGTAATTTAGAGTACAGCAAAGTCTGACATACTTTACCCTTGAAGTGCAAACATTACACATTTATTTTATGAGGTTCTGCTGTACTCAACAATAGATGACTAGAATATTGCTATAGCTATAACATTGCATACTGTTCTATATTTAGAGTTTAAAATGGATGAGTTGGATTTAATTTCACATAATCTGTGTGGAGATTCAAAGCTTTTAGTATATAATCATGTTTATGGCTGCCAGAACAACAGGGGCAACCAGGCATTTGACCCACTGTTTTTTTTAGGTACTACGATGCCCCACCGTGTTTTGATAGAGTTTAGGCAGCTTATTCTTTTTACCTGGGGACAGGACCGTTCCCAAAACATGAAACCTATGTGATTTTGTGTTTAGTAAGACGGGCAGCTGCTGTTCCACTAGAGTGCTTTTTATTTTTATTATAGACAATTTTTAAAAACCAATAAAAATTGCCCCACTACTTCTGAAAGTGTGGTGCGACCACTGAATCATGTACATAGCAAAATCCAGAGTGCTGAATTAAAACCTAGAGCTCTGAATGAACAGCTACAGTGTTCTTTTAAGTCACGCTTTAAACCCTTTAAACAAATAAACACTGAGTTCCTTCAACACTCTGGATTTTGCTGTGTAAATACTGTTAGATGAAGAATGCTTGATGTGTCTAGTACCATTTCTATGTTCTCCTGTGTGACGAAGCGCAGTTTGTTCTCCATGCGTCTGAAAGCGTGAGCGAGCTCTTCATTCTTTCGACTCAGGCGCCTGTTTTTATCCAGGAGGGGCTTATACTGGCTCTCCGCCTCACGAAGACGCTTCAGCTGTAGACAACATACATAGACATACATGAAATACATACACACATGTCTTGAATACATGAAAAAGCATTAAAAATGCATAGTATCCCCACTATCTAAACAGAAAACTGCCAAAAAGGCTTTTTTTGCAATGTTATTGAATAAGCACGTTTGGTTCCCTAAAAAAAAACCTTTAAATGGATAGTTTTTAGAGAACCATTTTTGCAAGCAAGTTGAAGAACCTTTCTAAAGTTGAAAGAACCTCTGCATAAGCTAAAGGCTTTAGAAAGAATCCTTAAATTGGAAACTTTGGAAACATTGTGTGAAGCTTTTTTAAACTTAAGAAAAGTTCTTAAGTTCTTTTAGGGAACTACTTTTGGCTCTGTAAAACCTTTTAATGGATGGTTCTGTGGAGAACCATTTTTCATAAAGGGATTACAGAACGTTTCTAAAGGTTAAAGAACCATCAAATAATGTAAAGGCTCAAGAAAGAACCTTTAAATTGGTATAGAACCTTAACATTATGTGGAGGTTCTTTAAACCTTTAAAAGCTGTGTAATTATCAGATGTGTAAGCAAAGCACTTCACGTATGTTAACTTTAATGCTAATGTTCATTTTAATGCAGGTCAGATGTAATATTTCTAGTACATAATCATAACATCAACCTACTTTAAAGTATCTATAGCTCTGAGTATGTAACTGTAACAGATTTGCAGCAGTGTGAACAGAGTTGTGTTGTCTGGCAGTTTTTCTGAAGCTTGTACAGTTCAGGTTTAAAATCAGACAATTCCTATTGATCTCTCGCTCTGTCTGGACTGAAGGAGGAAAAAGTGATCAACTATCAGTTTCATCACTCTGAGAATCCACTAGCATTTACAGGAAAGCTGTCACTATCACATAACACTTACGAGGACACAACTGTCCATCTGTATATTATATATTACAGAACGCAAAATCAGCAGAAAGTCTATCAGCAGGTGGAGATGCATTTATGTTAGGTCTGTCTAAAAAAAACAAAAAACCCTTCAACATAAACATCTTTTTGATGTTGAATTCACACAAGTGCATGGAAAAATTACTATTTATAAATTAACCACATTGAAAATTTGTTAATAATTTCTGTTCTTCTTTGTTTCATTTCTGTTTGGAGAGCAGAGCACAGACAAAAGAATCTCATATCAGAGTTGATAAGAACAACCACACTGTAAAATCATGCTTGTGACATATTTATAATCTAAAGAGCCGCGTTTAAAATCTGTGACACTGACGTGTTGAACACAAACGCTGATGGACAGATTTACTAAAAGAGATCTACAGTAAAAGAGGTGCTAACCATCAACAGTCTACTGACATTTTGCCGCTGGTGGGGGTGGCCAATTAGCGGCTCATCTACTAATAACTTCCATACGAATGAACACAAGCACAATTTTGTAATTAGTGTATGAGCAGCACAATATAAAGCTCTGTTTGACTCACATGCTTTTTGTATGAAACCCAGTTCTGCCAGGTAGGAGGGAAAAAGCTTTTCATCCTTCTCAGTTTGTGGTTCAAATTGTGACTCACTGGGTCATAATAATGACTTTCCTGAAATTTTTTACATTGTTTACATTAATCGAAAAAAATAAGTTATTTCAACATAAGTCAGAAATTCGAGGAAATAAGTAATAATTTTGACTTTATAAAAACATTCATTTTCAGCTGGACTGATGGGCTGAACTTGAGTGCTGTGCTGAGTGCTTGGAAATCATGTGACATTATAATCACTGAGTGTCTCCTGGTCTTTTGGGAACTAAACACTTCTGACAAAGTGTGCAAAGTCACCATGCACACAAAGTAACCACTAGCTATAGTAATGCAGGGATTGCAGAGACAAAATAGTTTCAATACGTGTTTTTAACAGATGTTTGAAACTTTCTCTTAAAACACTGAATATAGTAAAATATACCCGCCAAATTAGAAAACAACCGTTCAAAACAGGCATAAAATACTGCACAGTCAGCATCTGAGCCTTGTTTAATGGGAGCAGGCGCTTCATCATCATAATCTTATCCCAGTAATTTGTGCTTTGAGAGGAAAAATTCCATAAAAAAGTGCAAAATAGCAAAACAGGACTGCTGTGCCTGTTGAGTGAATTGACTGTTGCTTTTTAAATGCAAAATTCAGGTTTATGACGCTATAAAACGCTAGTAAATCTGCCCCCATGAGATTCTTTGTGTGTTCTGGTGTTTATTTTTATTACAGTCATGCTTTCCCTGATTTGTTCTCAAAAAAGAGAACAGTTCAACTAAACACTGTGATGTTTAGATAACAGTGTGCATCAAAAAACACCTAAAATCTTGCAAATTGATAACCTTCTGCTTTCTTAACTCAGTCCTCAGCGATGCTAACTCTATACTTACACATAGCATCAATTCAGCTTTCTGTTTGATTTTCTATTTACTGGAGGAGTTGCTTACCAGCTCATTGCGTTCCTCTGAGAGCAGAGCATTGCGGTCCTCCAGCTTGCGAATGATGGCGCTTAGCTCAGCGATTTTCAGCTGGAAACGGCGAGCGTCCTTCTCATCCAACTGCTGCACCTGCAACACAAACCAACTGCAGAAAACTGGGGAGCAAACCACTGGAGTTCCATCTCAGCGCCGACAACTGCGGTCTGGACTCAAGCTCTCCACAACTCTTCAAGAGAGGAGACAAACTTAAGAGTTTTCCAGTCTAAATATGAATCTTTTTTATATTCAGGACTGTCAAGCATACGGCAGATATAAAAGAGACCGCTGCTTTGAAACTGTGAAACAGGGATAAGATCTGCGCAAGAGCTCTGTAACATACTGATCACTTTTCTTGTCTCTTTCAAGACTATGTATCTATAAGGAAGACATAAAGAATCAGGAGGAAGAAATAAGGAATAGTCACTTCAAGTCACTTATAATAACAAAAAGAACAATAACTTTGAAAGTAAAATTACAGTCTGGTAGGTTAGTGATGAAGCCTATCTTCTGTATTGCTTCTCAGCAGAAAGATTTATGGGCTTTACAGTGTCTTGAAGGCCAGGGAACAAGTAAAAGTAGCAAATTGAAGAGTAAAAGGACAGAGCATGTTATTAAACAATCGGAATGGGTCAAATCTAGCATGGCCAGTCTCTAATGGCACTGCATAAACTTTAATTGTGCATATTACCACTGTTTCTTTACTCACTTCAATACAGTGCTGTGCAAAAGTCAGAGACCAGTCATCATTTATTTAACAGCCATTAAGTACAAGTTACTAATTATTCAATGTCAGGAAAAAAGCAGAATTCATATATTTAACAGAAAATTGCCTCAAGAGAAAAGAGGCCTCAACAACCAAAGATAGTATCACATTTTCAGTATCTAATGTGTCCACAACTTTCCTTTATTACAGCTTCCATTCTTTTCAGAAGATTCACTTTCAGCTTTTCAAACAAATCAGCAAAGGTATTTTTCCACACCTCCAAAGTTCAGTCTTAGAAGTTGGTTGTATTTTCTGCTTCTCACAACACAATGATGTTGAGGTCTGGACCTTGGGTGGCCAGTCCATTGATCTGAGGACACCGGCGTCTTCTTTGTTTGATTTGCAAATATTCCTTTTCTCAGTAACAACTTCTTGACAGCTACACATCCTTTCAGAGCCCACGGGGTTGAGTTGTCGTCTGACAGAAAACACCTGTGGGTTTAGTGTTTTAGATCTGAAGTAAGACTCGAGCTTGATTTTCTCCTCTCTGTCAAAGGTGAAAGCTTTAAGTGCTGTTTATCTGATGGTGAAAGTTTGGGTGGTGTACCAAGTCTTTTCACTTTACCTTTCACTTTCATTACACGAGTGGATTGTTTTATATCATATCTCCTCAGAAGTATCTCCTGAAAAATTAGTAATTTGCGTTTAATGGCCGTTTTGGATGGGAAATGAAATAAATGAGGGTAGCGACTGACTTTCTGCGCAATAATCAATAAATACATCAATGTATTTGAATACATATATTAATTTAAATAATGATCGAATAAGCCCAACCAAAAAAAAGAGCAAAAACAGCATCACAGCACACAGTGAGAGAGCATAATCTGTATCTGACAGCACTGAAAGGCCACCGGGAACAAATCCATTGTCACCTGTCTGCTGTGAAAGAAATAAATAAATGGATAAAATAGAAAAAAGCAGCCAACTATTGCTTTAAATAACATCACATTCACAATACGTTCACAAAATGGCCCAGCTAATGTGCAGCGTGTCAAATCTGTGTAAATGTGTGAATATTAAAGCCTGCCTCTGTATTAGGGATGTGGGTGTGTGCACATCTGCAGGCGTGTATAAGATGCTCAGTATGTGTGTGAGGTTGGTGTATAAGTGAAGAAGTGTGCATGCATATTCTCACAGCACCAAATTGGTGATGTTCATGTTGTTAGCGCTCTCCAGCATGTGTGAAAAGCCTGGAGCTGTTCTATACTGGAGACAAGATGGTGGAAAAAAGCAGCTTTAGATTAACACAGCCCACCATACTTACAAATAACGAAAGAACCAAGCTGGGAATTCACTCATCTTTAAAGAAAGCAAATAATCACATATAGGGTGGACTGCGGTAAATGTTTTTACACATATTACAATCTTGACACATACACATACATATATATATATATATATATATATATATATATATATATATATATATATATATATATATATATATATATATATATATATCACTGCTGTTGGAACAAAACCCTTTATCTCCATTTTTGTCGTTTTTCCGTTTTGACGTAATTTGAAAATGCCTGTTACCCTTTACATTGTGTGTAAATTTCTTGCTGCATGGACCAAAAGAATTGGCCGAAAATGACATGGGAAAAAGTCTGGTTCCATTAACTTACATTAAAAGCAAAGAAGGTTTTTTCCTTCTCCTGTAAAGTTATCATTTTGGAGATACAAAGTTTTGTTCTAACAACAGCAATACATAGTAATAGAGTAGAGGAGAATAACAGAGTAGTTCAGCATCCTAGTTAGCTGCACAATATGGACAAAATACCACATTGCAATTATATTGCTACATGCTACAAATGCAATACATCTTCCAACATTTAAAACACATCAGTGAACCCTTGATATGATGTGGTTGATTACTTTTGGCCAACACTATTTGCTTGTTAGATGTTTGTTATGTTTGGAAAATGCCTTGATTCATTCAAACACGCATACAATGGCTGTGATTGGTCAGAATGGCCACAGCATAGTTTGAGGGTTAATTGTACATTAAAAACCACTGCAGTATTGTGATAATGATTAATAAATGCTACACCGTGCAGCCCTAATATATCTAAATCAATTATAACACAAAGATAAATGTCATTAGGCCTGCATTCAGTGACAGAATATCAAATATTGAATCAAAGACTTAAAGAAAACCTTAAGAGGTCCATATTCAGTAGGTGCAGGAGACAATATATGATAGAAACTGTAATCGTGTGTTTAATTGAGACAGAGAGCGAATTATAGGTAGCGTGAGTTGGGGATATCTAAAGGGAAGATATCAAGCAAAATATAGTGAGATGCATGAGTTAGGAAACCTCTCAGTCAGGAGGGAGGCAGTGGGATATGCAGGTGCAAGAAGTTCAAGGATTAAGGCCCAATCCCGTTTCATTCCTTGCCCGTACCACTCAGCCCTTAGCCCTCCGTTTTGCGTGTTCATGTCTAGGGGTAGGGTGTCCCACTATTTGTTGAGGTAGAGGAGCAAAGTGTTAGGGCTACATGGCACTCCAAAGGGAGGTTTTTCAGAGGCAAACTCCAAATGTAGTGTTATGAGAAAAAAAAGAAAAGATGGCTGCCCAAGCAACCAAAGAAACCCACAAATGTGAGGATTTTCTCCATTAAAAAATGCGATAACGATTGTATTATCTTAGTTTAATGTTTCAGTGTATTATCGTCCTTTTCTTCATAACAAGCATGATTATGTCTCAGTAGCTAGCTAGCTGAATTTCCTGTTTCACCTTAAATTGGCATCAGAACTGCTGCACCATTTAAAGTTGAACAGGAAAATTCGAACAAGAAGCTGGCGAATAGCTGACTTCAGCTTCATGTCAATGAAGAATTAGGGGTGCGCAACAATCCCCCTTTAAAGGCATATGATGCCCTAAATATAACTAAAACTTTTTTTATTTGAGGGTCCCATTTCATTGGGGAAGATTTTAACCACTAACCCTTGTAACTCACTTCTGAGGGGCAAGGTGACACTCAAAAATTAGGGGTAGGGGTAAAAATAAGAAATGGGATTGGGCTTTAGACTTGAACTTATGTCTTCACAACCTGACATTATGGAATTATGGAAACATGCAGTCTCCGGAACCAGAGTAAGATTGAATCATTTACAATTCATTTATTAAAGTTATCAATCATGTGCGCTTGCCCTGCTGTAAATGTTCTGAAGGAATTTCCTAAGAAATAATGTAACCACACTTCACATTTCTCACTAAACTAAACATGCCAGTAAACCAGCAGTGTCTGCAACTACATAAAATTAGATATAACAATATAAAGCTTTTTTACAAACATCATCATGGACTCTCAGTTTTGCGATAACCTTTCTAGAGTGTTCTGACTAATGTAATTCCTCTATTTAAGTAGATCTTATCTCACAGGTCTAAATATACCACTGGCTGAGTGATGTTGTGCTTGCAATGTATACAAAAGAAGAGGATATTAAATGTGTCCTGCGTTGGGGGTTAAGGACAAACAGAATCCATTCATGCGCCATTCATGCTTTATGTTATTCAAAGGGAATTTCTTGGAAACTGGTGTCAAAGAGTTCACAGTAAAGAGAAACATACCAAAGGTCTTCCTTAGAAAAACACAGAATCTGAACATGCCAGTGAAAAGCATCAACAGAAATATAAGTCCAAAGAATCGAGACAAAGCAGTAACTGTGTATTTTATGAGGAGCAACTTGCAAGTCAAGTATAAAGCAACTACTAACAGTGAAGCCAGCAATGAAGCAAAAAGCAAAAGAAGAGGCAAGCATTCTACCCTAAACTACTATAAAGTGTGAAGTGGAGAATGTAGCGGCTCTCATAATGTTTCACTTTAGTGCTGAACAGCCAAAGCAGGTTGTGATGAAAGTTGCCCCTATATGCTGCTGTGTCCTTTTTTAAAACCCAGTATGATGCCAGAGCAACAACAACAATTCAAAGTCTCCAACAAACTCCAAATGTCCCACAAATGTCCCATGATGTCCCACACCATGACTGTTCGAGGCTGCACGGATCTCCCAAACTGACACTATTTCATTTGGTTTGACATCCCATGCATCTCACAGCCAGCACCCAGTTAAAATCTGTCGTTTGTTGGAGAAATGTTGGGTTGGTGAACTTTGGCTCTTAAATCACTAAATCAGTGTCATGTCTGTTCCAAGATGCTTTATGTGGTATTTTGACTAAAAACATTGATCTGTCCATGCTTCACAGACAAAAATGTCTTTTTGCAGCTGTTGCGACGTTGGACAAGCTTCAAAGAACATTGGCAAAAATCAAATTCAGCTCATTCAATTCATTCAATTCAAACTCCTTGTGTAGAGTAGCTACACATAACATTAAGCTTCCAGTTTAAAAGGCTGTGCTACACATTGTTGCTGTAGCTATTCAAAGCTAGGAAGATCAGAAACAATGAGCATTAGCACAATTATACAAAAAAGGTACAATCTATCCTGATCAGTGGCTTTCTACAAAAAAAAGAGTGAGAATAAATAATGCACTCCAAATTAAGGTATGCTGACAAAAGCTGAGAACCTTCTATTAAGCTATAAGGGATTTTTGCTGAGATTTTATAAAGCTTCTCCCGCTTTGCAACAGTTCCTTTGAAAGTATTGATTTGAGGGCAGAGCATGGTTAGATCAACTCCTGACTGAGTCGTTCAAGGTAAAAAGACTCTGAGTAGTAGATAGGTGCAACCTTCAGCAGCGATTCAGAAACATATCTGTGTAAAACTAGGACGAGTGCCGGTGGGCGCAGTCAGGCAGCAGAGAAGCAGGAGCGAGGTTAGACAGGCGAGTGAGGTTAGGCGGGTGAGTGAGGATTGCTTACAGTGTTAGCTGTGCTCTCTGCTGTGTCTCCTGCACCGGCTGAATTGGGGCCCTCTCTCTTGGGGCTGAGCAGATTCAGTTGGTCGGTTACGGCCTGCTTCTGCTGCTGCAGCCGCTGTGCATGGCTCGCCTGCACCCCCAACTCTTTCTCCAGACTGACCACAGTCCGCTCTTTAACCTTTATCTCATCCATCTACAGGACAGAACACAGCACAGTCTCACATACACGCACACAAACACTGGGGATGCACCGATATGGTATTTCTGGGCTGCTAGCGATAACCGATAACACATTATTGTGTGCGATTTTGATATCAACAACTGATTTTTAAAACAAGTTCACATCATAATACAACTGTAGTCAGCATAAAATACCAGTACTTGAACTGTCCAATCACTATGTAGGTAGTCTTTACGGTCCATCATAAAACGTCAGGGAGAAAATAAAGTTGACAGATCAAATAATTAAATAAGTGCGTTTTGAGCACGTTGCCAAAGACACACTGTTAAGGTCATTATTGAGAGGTCAGAGTTAGTACAACTATAACTAGGCTGACTACCCTAGCTGGCATAGCTAGTACCAGAAACAATAAGAAAATACCCGTTCTAAGTGTTACCTCGACAAACTAACATTTTGACATAACAACTCTGCACCGGGTACTTCTACTGCTAGCATTAGCACGTCAGCTCACCTGTCTAGATTAAAAACCTATTTTAGCGATCAGCATTTGTTGTATTTGCTGTATTTTTGTTTTGTTATACATCAGATTTTGTCCTATATTGTCCTTTTAAATGTGTTCTCCTTACTAGTTCTCCTACTTTGGGTTGAAATGTGCTTCATAACTAAATACTTACTTACTTACTTACTTACTAAACTCATTAGTCTGATAGCACCAGAATATCCATATTAGTCAGATGCATGTCTGTTAGTCTGATAGCACCAGAATATCCATATTAGTCAGATGCATGTCTGTTAGTCTGATAGCACCAGAATATCCATATTAGTCAGAATGCATGTCCCTACACAAACATGACATTTATTGTAAACACAGAGTGGCATTCCTGCCTGGATAGGGAATGAAGCTTCCAGTCTTCCATGTGAGGGGTGATCTTATCCACTATGCTACCCCCCACCGAGTTAGTTAAAGCCCCTGCTTTCAAATGTTAATTGATATATATTCCTTTAAGCTCCACCTGGAGTTTGTTAATGCCCATTTATTGATTGCACAGTTTTTGTTGGCCATCCTCAACCCTTCAACAGTGACTTTCATTCCATATATATCAAAGTGCACTGTATATATATCAAAGTTCATTGTATATATATATATATATATCAAAGTTCATTAAATATTTCCTGTTTGGCTTGCCATAATATACATATATATCACTCTGAGCTGTGCAGCCATGTCAGATCACATAATGAACGCCAGGGCATCTCTCTGGCAACATAAATGACCTGGTCATCAGTGTAGTTCAGCCTTAAAGGTTTAATGTTGAAGAAAACGAGCCCCATGAAAGAAAACAGACAACTTTGCTCTTCTTCATTGGTCTCTGAATGCTGAGTAAAAAAGTGCAAAATGGAGCACAAGCTGTCTGAGGGTCATTTTAGAGATCTGATGACATTTTGCAGCTAATGTTTGAGATATCAAGATTTCATCTTACGACAGGTGGATCACAGACATATTGTGACCGACATTTAAAAGTTTACCACTAACATTATATCCGTAATCTGTGGCTAGCTAACTAACTGCTGGACACTGTAGGGAAATTTGTTCTGTGCCTCACTGTGCGTCACGCCTGCAAAGTACAACTGACAATTGTGGGAAACGCTGTGAGCCGTAACGTTGGAAGGGTAGTTAACGTATCATTTTATTCCTACAGTTAAGGTGGACCACTAGCTAACACGTTCTCCTGAGGCAAGTAGGAAGCAGCGTAATAAACCTTCATAACAAGAACCATAACACATTTAGAAAAGCTTAAATAAGCCCCTTGCTGGGACTGTTGGCTGGGACAGATCTCACATCACTTATGCCAAATTAAGTCCTACCCAACTCCAAACAAACAGAAGAAAATAGCATAAAACAACCAACCAACATCATTCCTTCTCTGCCAGTTCATAGTAAAACCATTACAAAACTATAGACAATAGAAGAAAATTACAAAATTGAGTAGATTTAAGAGTAATTCCCACCACTAGAGACTACAAGTGCACCAGTGGCTGACATACCGCACACATTTAAAGGAAATTTCCACCATTTTGTTTTTCTAATTTCAGCATAATTGAGTAGTTAAGTTGTAAACAAAGTCATTCAGTGTGGTTTGATATTAAATGCTTCGTTCTAGACAAACTTACCATGTGAATTGTTCACTATGATGGTGATGGGAACCAGATGTCTGAAGCTCCTTCACAGAAAGTTCTTACATGAAATGGTTACAAAACTGCTGCCTGATACCGGAGACAATGTGTTCCAACAGTTTTGAAATAGCCACTTGGCCTAAAATGCATCTTTTAACATATATTCATGATGTAGTGGGACATGCAGGGTATCATAATGTAAAATAGTACATAACGAAAACTTGTCTTTTCAGATTTACCACTCTTTTATCCTTGCAAGCATACAAAAACTCAGAGAACTCTTGTCGGTTCACTGGTCATTTTTGATAGTAAATAAGATATCTTTATATCACAGATGTCAGATAGATATATATTTTGAGCTGGTCAAAACACTGTGAATTACTTTGTTTACATCTGAATGATTGTATTATGCAGAAATTATGAAAAATTGGTAGATTCCCCTTTAACAAACACATACATGCACAGACTGCTCCAGACTGCATACTCCTGAACCTTTACCCCCTCCATCTGCAGAACAGGACACAGTACAATCACACACACACACACACACCACACAAGCATGCACACACACACACACACACACACACACACCACACATGCATGCACACACACACACACACACACACACACACACACAAGGAGTCCAGGCTCCAAGACTGCCCCCAGTCCGCTCATTAACCTTTATCACATCCATCTACGCAGCAGAACATAGAACAGCATCCCTAACACACACACACCCACCCACCCACACACACACACACACACCCACACACAAGCCCCAAACATGTGCCGTAATCTGCCCAGATAATGTGGTCACCATGACAACCACAGACACAAGCCAGTGAGGAGCCCCACCCATTTTAATGGGCAACAGCAACAAGACAGAGCTTTGCATGTTAATTAGATTTTACTGTGTAACCTGTAAATGAGATCAAAATTTTTTTTTAATTCAATTTCTAGGAAAACAAAAAAAACATCTTATTTGCAGCACAATGAGGTCAGCCCAGGAATCCTGTCGATGCTTGGGAGAAGAAAGAAAAGTGGAAATTAAATTTTAAGAGCACCGACGGAGGCAGGGGTGAGCAATACGATGATATTTATCACTATTATGATTAGGCTGATATCTGATATTTTTCTGCCAATGCCGATACATAAACATTCATAAAATACAAAAATTGAGATTATCATTACAGAGAAATAAAACTGTTTAATAGTTATTTAATGAATTAATTTCAAATCCCTCTTAAATCTATTTACATAATGATTATTTATCTCATACAGTTTGTATCTCTGTAAACTTATTTTCTTGTTTTGTGTATTGTGTGTTTGTGTTTTTATTAAAACAGTTTAGTTTACTCTGGTTTAGTTTAATATGTGTTTTTTTTTTTTTTTGTTAATGTTTCCTTGTGATTTTTATTTTTGTCTATGTGACAAGTATTAATTATTTTAATATTAACAGCAACCTGCCCAGGGACTGCGGAAGAAAATGAGTCACCTGGCTAAATCTAGCATACTTTCATTACGAAATAGTTATGTTGATTAATGTGTATATTGCCTGTCAAATAAACAAATAAAGCAAGTAAAGTATTTCTGTAGGGGTACAAATGCAGTAAATTGAAGCCCAGCGTCATGTTACCAAATATCAATTTAAAATATTGGTCAAATTTAAACATCTGTCTGATGCTGATACTTTTTTTTTACTTCTTATTTCTTCTTACTTCTTACTACTTATCTGTTGATACTGACATGATGTCTGATATCATTATACATCCCTATTAAATAGACTGTTTAATTGGATTTTACACAGTTCAGTATGTGAAAGACATTTTGTCACATTTTGTCACATATTTAATTACATTACATTGGTTCAGCATTCTTTTTTTGTGTTTTCCAAACTTACTGAACCTCAAAAAAGTATTTCTGACACTATATTTTTGCCATATCACCCACCCCGAGACTGAAGTTTGGCTCTGAATCAAAGTCATACGTAATGGAATGGTATGAAAATTACTTGTCAATCCAAATTCACAGTTTTCAATTAAAAACAATTCATAAAAATTTCAGCACAATTATTAAATTCATAGACTCGTTACTGTACTTCTCGTATTTCTTTAAAACACCAAAAAATGAACTAGAATTTAAATAAATATCAAATGATGACCAGCACCACTACTGTTTACGTTCCATATCATAATGTAAACATGTGCTATTCTGGCATGTGCTTTGTTGGTAGACTGAAGCAAACAGCTGTCTACTTCCACTATGACTTTTAAGAAAGACGGCAAATGTACACGCTTATCAGAATTATTAAAAAAATTGAATATGATAAATATGATTATAATTGGGATCTATACTGTGGTATATCATTAAAACTAGTAGTCACCCCATCCCCAGTCACATGACACAAATGCGACAAAGAAGCAAAATTCACAGGGAGGAAACTTCACAGTCACACAGCCAAGAGAAAATCACTTACTCTGAGCAGTGTGAAAATCTCCAGCTTAGAGGGAAGCAGACATTTTAGCCCCTGCAGCACACGGTCAGACTAGCTATGATGGGCTGATCCCACTGCGCATGAGTCTGCATGTGTATCTCAGTCCCAAAGAAAGACAGCCAGACATATCCCCACATATCCACATCTCCAGACTCACTGATCTCCTTCAGCGAGAGTCTGCTGCTGCTACAAGTCGAGCAAAACTGAAGAATTCAGCTTTGTCTCTTCCTTTTTCCTCAAACGTCTGCAGACACGCAAGCACACACAAACATGCTGGCACTCACAGTGTCCCCAGTGGTCCATTAGATTTGGGTGGTTAATGATATTCAGTTCCCCTGGAGTG